TCCCTGGGGAAAGTTCGCCTCTTCAAAAGAAACATTATTTTCTCTACAAAGTGCAAGAAGAATTATTTAATGACATAATCAAAGTAATATGGAGTGGCCCATATTTTCCAGAATGTGGAGACCCCCTCCCCACTCATATGAAAATACCTTTGCCAAAAAAGGACCCTTTTTAATTCCAGATGTTGGCTTTTTCTCTAACAGAAGAGTTGCCAATGCTAGCAGATCCATATTTTTAACCCATGGATTAAGTATAGTTCTTTAATTTCTGGCGTATTTTAGCATGACGTACAGGTCCTTAGCAATCTGCTATAATATTTGCTCTACAAAGAGTGGGGTCCAGATTCAATATTGGTAGAAGCCCCATAGCAACAGGGGCAGGAGGAGGAGTAAGAAACCAATGAGAAAAGGTCCAGTGATGAAAATGTAAATTCCGCACAAGTCTTAAGAAGCCTTTCCCTTAAGCCTTTCCCAAGTAAAGCTGCATGACTTACCCTGAGCCCTTCAACAGGGCTCTGCCCATAAAGAAATGTATGTATTGATAAATGTACTGTTCATTTCAAGACACCCATGTATAATGGGGAGTAGCGCCTGTACCCTCCAAAACAGGGCTGCCCCCGGTCAAAGAATCTACAATTTATTAACTCTCTGATTCATTAGAGAAATTTACTACATATGACAACGATGTCGTTATTGGTGACTTTTCAGAAGCTCAAATCAAGTTATGACTTGAAGTTCTTGCTCTGTTACAAGAAAAGGCCTTTATTTCCTGCCACAGTGGCACACCAGAACCATAATAGCCTCAAATATTAACAAGGGCATCTTTCCCAATAAAACTGACTCCCAATTATTAACCTATTGAAGTGTTAGTTAATATATAGTTGAAAGATTGCCGCCTTACAAATGTTCAAAAACTGGAATTGCAGATACCAACAGGAAGAGAAGATCTACTGCATAAATCAGGGGTCCATAACTTGTCGGTACTTCTGGCATTTTGGGGACAGGTAGTGGGCAGTGTTGGAACAGTCAAAGTCTGGTGGCACCACCACAAAATGGCTTCCGAAATGGGGGGTGGGACCACGGCAGCTGTGGGGTGGGGGGCAAGGCCAATTACAAAATGTTGGAAGGATCCACAAGATGTTGGGAAAGTTCCAAACCAACCTTCCTCCTCCAATGAAGGCAGCTGTTTCTCAGTGGGTACTTCTCTGGAGGCACAAAGGTGATGTCTCCTAGGCTCTTCTGAAGCACTTCCTGTTCCAATGAAAAATGTGATTGGCTCTTTTCTTAGGGGAGGGGAAGAAGAAACTGGGTCGCTGGGCACTGGTCTGGGCATCATTATCTTAACTGGACAATGTGAGCGATCATTTGAAAGTGGTGGTGAGAAGCACCATCAAGTTGCAGCCGATTTATGGCAACCTGCAGGGTTTCCAAGGCAAGAGATGGACAGAGGTGATTTGCCATTGCCTGCCTCTGCATAGCAACCCTGGATGTCCTCAGTGGTCTCTCATCCAGATACTGACCAGAGCTAACACTAACAGTAATCCATCTCCCCCCCCCACACACACACACACTAAATCTAATAGCTAGGGGGGGTTCCATTTCCCCTCCCCCTACACTGCAGCCCCAAACCAGAGTGAGGCCCCCAAACATACAGCTGCTTTTCAAAAATGAAGATTGGAAGATGGGCCCCCTTGATTCTTGTGCAATTGAGGCTTCGAATAGGGAATTACTCTGCCTTTGGATGCTAAGACTCCATTTTTTTGGTAGGGAAATCAAATATTTTAACACTCAAATTGGCAACTACTGCCATTTCAAAGCTCTGTGCATTTCTAGTGGCAAGACTCTGACATTCAGTTGTAAGGTAAGTTGGCATTGTTATCCACATATTGATAATGTGAAAGGGGGAAGTGAAGAAGAGAGATCATGGCTTGCTTGAGATAATTTAGGAAAGTTGTGGGTAAGGAAACATTCAGATAAGAGATTTCACCATTTCCAGTGCCCTCACTCAGCCATTTTATGACTGGCTAGTAATATTCAGATTTCATAGCTTAAACCAGGGGTCATTTCGTAGAAAAAGAGCTAGGGGAACCCATTAGCATAACTCATTAGCATATGCCACACCCCCTGACATCAGGGGCCCGGCGGTGGACCTGCAAGGCCGGCGGGAGTGCAAGGAAGTCCCGCGAAGGCCCTCCCTGGCCCCAGGCAGGCAGGGGTGGGGAGAGGCAGGGAGGAAGCAACTTACCCTCCCTCTTCTCCTGCCTCCTTCTGGCTGAATGAGGGCCGGAAGTGGGGCGGCCGGAAGCAGGGGGCGGGGCTTCATCATGTGCCCCGCCCCCGTACCTCACCCGGGGGAACTGCGTTCCCCCGCGTTCCCCCCCGAAATGACCTCTGGCTTAAACCTTGACTCGCTTTGACCCTGACTATACAAGCCAGGTAAGCTACATTGCAGATATAGCTTAAGAAGGTATATATTACATGGGTTCTTCCGATTGAGTGGCAGTAGCTTTATTTTTTCACTTGGAAATCTTTACCAGTGGTATGATGTGATTCTGATGTCTCTCTAAATTATCTTGGAAACCTAACTAACTTGATTTCTTCTATAAGTTACTTTAAAGCTTGTTCCCTCCTTCACCCAAAGGGATGATAAAACCGTTTCCGGACTAAACTGCCTGAGACTGCTGATAAGGAATAACTTGAGTGGTTGCTTTATTTTATGAAAAGCTCCCAGCACAAAAGAAAACTAGCTATCAGGGAAGAGTCCTAGTATAACCCCCTTCCTAATATACCAGTTTCCTGTGAGAAGGATCCCCCCCCCCATACAGAGGTTTTCAACCATTAATTCAACCTGTTGAATGAAACAGTACAGTCAGAACACAGGTCTACCTTATGTCATCCTCTGCTGTTTGTGTGAACTAAGCTTCTATGGATTGATTTGGTGTAGAAATGAGCACGGAGAGGAGGGGACCACATCAGCTTGCCATGGCCCAACTTTCATACATTCGTCATTTACAGAGCATAGAACCTCTAAGCAATTAGCCACATCCTACACAAATGGAGTTTATATGGATCATTCCTGTGCAACCAAATGCCATGACTGGCTCCAATTTACTTTTTACCTAGAGCTTCATGTAAGCCTTCGGGGAGGGCGGGATATAAATCCAAAGATAAATTTAAAAAAATAAATGAATAAAAACATTAATTACCAGATATGTGTATGAAATAACCACCACATTTTCTTTCTGTTTATAGGGGACCTGTTTAATTTTTTACAAAAGCATGGGGTGAAGTGGAGCTGATGAACTGCTGACTGTTGTCTTTTCATCTGAGAAGCAGAGATGTACTCTCAGATATTTCCAGTCTGAATATACATATCTATCTGAAGAATACCTTATTTCTTTCAGATACATTCAGCTATCTGGACAATATTCAGCATTTTTCAGAATACTGAAACTTGGGTCCTGAAAAACTGGAAATTTTCATGAATATCCAAGAATATTCAGGGCCAGCATTTTTACAGGGCATCTGTGTCAGTGGCTTGCTGGGTCTGGCTGGCTGTGTTGGCTCCGGCTTGCAAGGTTGGCTTGGCTTAAATCATCTGGTTTTATGTTGGTTGTGCTGGGCTTGCAACGGTGCTTGGATTTTCTGGTTTGACATTGGTTGTGTTGGCCTTCCCACATTGGCGCTGGGTTCTGCTGGGTTTCTGTGGTCTGATATTAGTTTCGTTGGTTCTGTTTGCATTTGGAAACTTTTGGCCAGTGGGTGTTCTTCCTATTGGTTTCTTTGCCCTGGAGAAAGCATGGAATTTTTTTTTTTGCCCAAAGCCAACAATGGAGACTAGTAGGATGGCTAGGGACACCTTGTTCAGGGGCCCGTAGAACTGGACTCTCTTTTTTAGTCTGCTTGAAACTTGGGGGGTCTTTAGTGGATGGGCTGGACTATAGAACCTGTGCTTTTGGTGACATTTGCTAAAAAAAGAGCCACCTCAGCCCCCCCCAAAAATGCCCCCCGTGAGTTTTTTTCAAGTGCATATCCCTTACCCATTAGCTTCTGCTGCCGCTTGAAGCCTCTTTTGCACCCATCACCACCACATGGCCCAATCAAGCCTGGAGCAACACTTTCAGGTCCCTTTTTAAAGAGAGTTACAAACTACAAACTTCAGGTTCTTTTAACCAGTCCTGAAACATCTCTTTAACTCCTGCCAGCTTTTCTTTATCATCCAGGCTGCTGAAGCATTTTAGAAAACTCAAATGTGTGAGCTCTTTCATGTGCAGTGTTTTGGTTGGTCCTTGCTCACTTGTAATAAATTACTGTTGTTTTTCCACCTTGCCCCTGATTCCCTGCCACCACCACTTGTTCATTTCTATACGCGAATTAATATTTGCACAGGCCTAATATCTACAACAAATAAGATGTGTGCTCAGAGCATTGTGATAAAAATGCTCACCAGTGCTTCATTAAAAAAAAAAAACTCTCTTTTTCTGCCACTAAAGAAAAGCAAGGAATTCAGTTTTGTTACCCTGTTAAGGATTCACAGTCATACAATCAACAACCCAACAAATGCTTGTGCCAAGTCAGTGAAAGTCACCCAGAGACACTTTATAGTAATTTTTTTTTATATTCTGATATGTAAAATAGAATTTCATACTATGGTAACAACGCTTTTTTAAAGGAGGGAAGAAACAAATTGGGGGGGGGAACCACGCCACATGGCCTTTTATCTAATGTGGATTCTAATAGATATTTATCCGTAGCATATATGTTTTATCTAATCAGATCTTAGTTTTTACATCATAAAAGGGAGTTAAAAAACTTAAATAGCTGTCTTCTTTTTTTTAAAGTCCCTTGTAACATTCATTTAATTATGTATTTCATTGTATAAAAAAAAAAAGCAAAGCGGAATGGAACACGTGGGCCTGCATTTGTGAGATAGATAGATATACTTTATATATATATATATAGATATATATAAATAACTATTCAGCATGCAACAATTGTAGTGATTCCCCAAGTTCTGATTATAAAATCCACACCAGCCATGCGAACAGTCTAACTGAACCAACGCACGGGTTGCTCAAGGGTAAAACAACCTTCTCTTTAGTGGACTCTGCATTACAGGAAAATAAAACCCGATTCTTCATCTTGCTCATTAGCATGGAACCACCACAATGAAAATCCTGGTCAGCTGGCGCTGTAGCACAGAGATCATTAGCCGTCCAAACTGTGGAAAGGTGTACAAATTCTGAGACAGCCTCTCGGAAGCACAGGCATTACCTTGGTCTGATGGCGCCTTGCCCTCTTGGTGTGTCTCAGTTTAGTTTTGTGGCAGAGGGATGGTTCCCTTCAGGTTCCCTCTGATTGTGGCCAGCTGTGGCATTAATAGCATTAGTATGTAGCTTATTGACTTTGTGGAGACTGTGGAGCATTGCTTATTGGAATGTGAAAGAACAAAGTTTGAGTCCAGCGGCACCCTTCAGACCAAAAGAGTTTAATTCTGGGTATCAGCTTTCGTGTACACGGAGACTTCTTCAGATTATTGGAATGTGGTTAGCTTTTGTGGTCTTAGGGATCTGTGGATCACTCCTCTTCTCTGTGATAATGAGAGGTTGTTAGCACGAGATAAAGTTAAGAAACTCTTGGCAGGCGTGGATTTAGGAGTTACATTGGCAGTGGCCAAAATTTTGCTCATGTGATTAAATTTAAAGGACCTCAAGCATGGTAACTGGTTGGTTATTTAAGTTAGCTATTTTTGTCGTTGTATCTGATGCGACATTGCGCCAGGCCTGTAGGCTAAATGGGCAGTATCATTAAAGTAAAAGTATGTCGCTTAAGCGGGCTTTGACCGGAGTGGACGCCTCTGTCTTCCTCTGTCTCGGGCCGGCCCCGCAGAACACAGCAGGCATGGGGTGCCATTTGTTTTTTAAATCTCTCTCCCACACTAAAAAATTCTGCATGTGCTAGTTTCTTTACTTTAAAAGTGCTTCTGACCAGAAGAGAGAATTTCAAAATACAACCCTCCCCATCAACAGATAGCCACAAAACTCTCATCACCTCGTTTGGCTGCATTATCTCTCAGTTGGGGTTGCCAACCTCCAGGTGGGACCGGGGGGGGGTCTTCCCAGTACGACAGCTGATCTCCAGCCCACAGCCATAGGTTCTCCTGGGACAAATGGCAGCTTGGGTATCCTATCCCTGCTGGAGCTCCCTCCCCTCTCCTCCCTGGGCACCTCTGCCAAGCCTCTAGGAGTTTCCTAAACAGGAGCAGGCAGCCCCGCTGGCTGCAGGGAGGAGAACACAACAGATATCAATGCATGTTACAGAAACCAGAAGCGTGTGTGTGTGTGTGTGTGTGTGTGTGTGTGTGTGTAACTGGAAATAGCAGCTCTGTGTTAAAGAACGCTCTCCCTGCCCTCCTTAATGTGTCGTTCAAATGGCTTCATGTCTTTATGCCACTTGTGGGTTTTCCTCTCTCACCCCGCTCAGCTGACTGCTGTTGTTGGAGCTGGGGAAAGAACAGGGCATAAGTCATTTAACATACACCTTACAGCAGGTAAGTGAGAACTTGCCATTTCCCCCAGCAGCTCTGGATAACGTGTTCCACAGAAAATTAGCTCTTCTGGTCAAACAGACTCCCATGTAGCTTCTGGGATTCACTGCGTCCATACTTAAAAGTGACCAGTATAAGGCTATAGTGTGGTCTACTAGAAGGAATGAGATGGTGGAAGGCAGTAGATAAACAATCATCCAGATAGATTTTTTCCTCCCAATGGAATCCCCGCTGAAATGATGCAGCTCACAGAAAACGGTGTTCCTAGTTTGTATCCTTAACTCTGAAATTGATTAGTGTGGCCTTGGCTAAGTCAGTCCAACAGTCTATCGATTAATGACAGCAAAACGCTAAAAGTCTTGGATTTTAAAAAATTATTCCATGAGTGCATCATGTAGGTATGATCCACAAGGCCCTTGAGCCTTGCATATTGCTCACTTAGTGGGGGAGTTAAGCTTTCTTTAAGTATATTTAATCTGCTGAAGTAGCATTTAGGGACTAGTTGCATTCCCAGCTTGTCTACAGACTGCCAGTAAATTTAAAGGGATATTTGACAAAAGATTAACCTGATGGATTCTGATGCATGATTTTTAAAAGGTGACATCCCAGGACATCTGTCAACACGTTACTTCTCTGGGCAGCAAAATTTTCACCGGCCCGGTTAAAACTGGTGGATTCAAGCCATTGAGCTGAAGTTCTCTTCCCCCACTGAGTTGCTTTGTTGTTGTTTGGTTAAAAGAAACAACCTCTTTAGATACACAAACACCAATGGAAATGCAGATTCCTGTAGGTGTCACGGAAGTGCAAGTTACCCCACAGGTATTAACACCGAACTAAGGCTGTCCAGGAGCCGCGGGCCTGGCCGTAACAAGGTTCATTGCTCAGCTGGCGAACTCATCCGTCCGTCCAGTTCTCCACAGTCCCCATGCCTGAATGATACTGTAAAGAAGATTCCCTCGACAGTGAAAAGGTCTGCGAGTACAGAAAGTCGTTTGCTGTGCTTAAGTGGGGAGAAGGGGGTTTCCTCTCGCAGACCGAGGGATGCACCCTTTCCCTCGGGAAGGATGTGGCGGGAACTCTGTCCCGCCCTTGAGACTGTGAGAGCTGGTTGTAGACGGCGAAGGGGCTGTTGCCTGGTGGCTGGGAGCTTTGATTCGTGATGGCAGGGAGGCGTGGCATCATCGTGGTGGCGGTAAAGTGAGCAGGGAAAGGCTGGTAGGGCACAGTCTCCATGGTCTGAACACTGTAGCTGGTGTAAGGTGCAACTGAAGTCCACATGTTGCAGCTCAGCGGGGGAGGCGGTGGAGGCAGGTCTTCTACCGAGGAGACGCCTGCAATTTCGGCACCAGAACCAGAGTACATACACGCCTCCCGCGGCGCCACTTCGCTGCAATAGGAAGGGCTCAGCATTTGCTGGTCGTAGGGAGGGGGTGACCGGAAGTAGTGATCTTCCCCAACAGAAGAGGACGCTTCCAGGTAAGAGCGTTTGCAGGGTAGATCCAGATGCCGGGCACCCTCTGTGGAACAAATAAAGCAAGAAGCGTTTAGAGATGGGGGCGGGTGGCTCCTTCCTCTGCTCCCTCTGATGACCTGAACAATTGTCCCTGCCCATTTCTGAAACCATCAGTAGGTGGCCAGCCCTTCTCATGACTGTAAAGAGATTCCTGTGTTAGTCTGTTGTAGCACAATAAAACAGAAGTCCACGGGCACCTTAAGGTCTAACAGCTATTATTGTTAGAAAAGAGGGAGAGTCCAGCAAGATCTTAAAGACTAACAAAATTTGTGGCTGGGTATGAGGTTTTGTGAGCAGTGACTCATGAAAGCTCATACCCTGCCACAAATATTGTTAGTCTTTATTTATTTATTCAATTCATAGACTGCCCTCCCCTAGACGTAGGGCTCAGGGCGGTGAACAACATTTCAGTAGATTACAATCAAATCAATAAGCAGTTAAAATTATCTTTAAAATCCAACGGCTATTACCAGATGGTGCTTAAAACCAATTCCTATCCTCACCCCAAGAGGGAGGGCAAGAGGAGGAGAGAAACGGGGAGGCACCAGGCACGATGGCAGCCGTCCTCAGCCATAGGCCTGGTGGAACATCTCTGTCTTACAGGCCCTGTGGAATTGCACCAAGTCCCGCGGGGCATGGATGTCATTCTTCAATGTACTACTGGACTCTTTTCTACTACTACAGACTAACACGGCTACCTACTTTAAGCAATTATTTCTGTGTTAAAGAGTGGGTTTAAAACAGCAGAGGCGAAGGCAGAGTGATTTCAACAAGCAGCAGTTTATCGCATCTCAACAGGAATGCTTTACATGGGGCAGCGCCCCTAACTATATACACCTAAGCCACTCCCGGCCGCCATGCGATTGGTGAGTTCAAATGGCCTCCAGGCTCCAGATTGGCTGCCTGCCCTCGGGGGCCAATCCACAGGCAGGCTCCAGGATCCTACCTGCCCTTTGTTCTGGGCGTCAAGCTCCAACTATGAGGCCTGCCCAGACAAGCCTCCCCACTCTCCATCTAGGTGGCCTGCCCAGACAAGCCTCCCTACTCTCCATCTAGGTGGCCTGCCCAGACAAGCCTCCCCACTCTCCATCTAGGTGGCCTGCCCAGACAAGTCCAGGCATGCCTCCTTATACTGGCTACTAGCACCAGCAGCAGTTAAGCCTGAGTGAAAGATGGCACATGTCCAGACATAACACCTGTATGAGCTTTCGGGAAGTGAGCTGCGACTTACGAAAGCTCATACAGAAATAAAGGTTAGTGTCTAACATGCCACTGGACTTTTGTTTTATTTGGCCCCTCTCTTGGCAATCACAAAAATAGCCAAACCAAGCCCTGACAGACAAGATGGTAAAGATTTCTATATTGAAGACACTCTCCCTCCAGGTATGCAGGGGAGGGGGGACAAAGGAGAGACAGCTTGAAGAGGTCTGGGTATGCTCCAGGAGGCACAGGACATTGAGAGCAGATAAAGGGAACAGGAGGAGGGCGAAGTTATCCTGCTTAGCCCCTCGAAGCTTAGAGAAACTTGGATGGTGAGTCAGTAGGGGTGGGAGGGAAGCAGGGGTCATTTCCTGCGGGAGCACACAGGAGCGGAGCTCCGGCAGTAAGGAGCCCAGGGGGCAGGCACATACAACAAACCCCACCCCCTGCTCCCAGAAGCCCTCGGTCGGGCCATGAGGAGCAAGAAGCAGCCAGGTAAGTTTCAGAGGCCCCCCCCCGGCCCGCCTTCAGGTACAAGCTCTCCCTCCTCTGTGAGGGCAGATCTACGCATCCCCCCCCCCATAGCTAGCAATCCAAAACAGTCCAGTGGCACCTTTAAAACCAAGTTTTATTCAGGTACAAGCTCTCCCTCCTCTGCGAGGACAGATCTGCACGCCCCCCCCCCAATAACTAGCAATCCAAAACAGTCAAGTGGAGCCTGAGCGGTGGGTGTTGCCTTCTGACACACTTCCGGTGATGTCAGGGGGTGTGGCATATGCTAATGAGTTATGCTAATGAGCTCCTGCACCTCTTTTTCTATGAAATGACCCCTGAAGGGAAGGGACTTCCAAATTTTCCCCTGCTCCTGCAGTGTGGGCTGTCTGGTTTCTTTGAGCTATTTTAGTTATTCCCATCTGCTTTCCTTCAGCCTTCTTTACTACAGTTTGCTTCCCAGACTCCTCCTGATATACATCTTGCAGCCCAGCCCCAGGAAGAGTTCGACATGGATAATCCTATAGATTTCAATAGGTTTGTGAATGCCTAACTCTGCAGAACATCAGGCCGCTAGTTGATCTGGCCTGTGGCAAAGGCTTTGAGAATCTACAGCACTGCTCTCCGCTAATCCTATTACATCACTTTATTATTATTATTTTTTAAAGAGACATTCTTTGATCACAAAAGGCAGTCCTATTGCCAATGTCTGGCTAATCCAATCAATCTTAATTCTGGAGCTTTGTTTAGCAGTTGAAAGTTAAATGATCTGGGCTGCTTAACTTTCTCACATCCAGCAACTGCTTTTCATTCATTCTCAACAGCAGACAGGCCGCAGCGCTTTTGTGGTGTTGCTCCTGACAAGTTCAAGGAGTCTCAGAATGTCTTATCGTGAGCTCTCGCTCTCTTTCTCACTCTCAAAAACACTGCTCTATATTTGCCAGGAATTTGTGTCACGGCTGCAAAACCCTTTCGAGATAAAACTTAGGGACTTGCTCTGGCAACTGGTAAAAGCTTTTTTTGCGACATGCTCCGTGCTGTTTCCTACATTTTGCAGTGACGCTATTTCTTGTTGAGAGTCAGCTTGCAGCATGGTTTAATTAACAGCTTGCTTGATTCTTCCGCTTGTTAGCTGCACCGTTAACTAGGGTGAGCAGAAGGGGAGGAGACGTGTGTTGCAGAAATCTGCATTCAACAGCCTTGTGGAAGCCATGCTGCCCCCTCCGACAGGTGCCCCCTCCTTAAACAGCCGTACTTCCCACAGCTGCAACTGTGATCATTCCATTCTTTTCAAAAAGAAGATCCGGATTTGAGAAAAACAGGAGCATGGGCAAAACAGCATGAAAGAGAGAGGCAGTGGGAGGCTGTTTAGGGGACACTTCTCCATCCCGAAAATACTTTTTCACACCACAAATGTTCACCCTCGAAAATTCGGTTCAGCCCAACTTCTAACTGCTGTGCTTACATTTTAGATAACATAAGCGTCTTAGGGCTCCCTTGGACAGAAGAAATATTTTTTTTCTTTATTGACTATGCAAAAAATGTTGCAAGGGATCTCCTTAACAATGTGGATAAGAACATGTTCTCTGAAAACTAATCACCCTCACCTAGCAAGCTATGCATAACTATAGCTAAATCAGGAAGACGATCAAAAGTAAGAAACATACAAAGATAAGGGAGTATAAAATTAATCAGGAATCAGGAAAGCTATCAGCAACACTTGGAAGAGATGCTTACGACAATTCACAATGGAAAACACAAAGAATCAAGAACCCCAAAACTGCATGGTTTAAGACCACTTTTCTCTTGGAGAACTAATAGGAAGTCCCCAGTTTCTCTGTTAAGCAGAACCCCCTTGACCTACCTCGCCGTTTCAGGCAGTGATAGAAAAGCCCCGATTCTCTTTGCGCTGTGAAGGTGTTGAGGGGCAGGTCTTGTGCATCTGATGCTGCAAACTGCATGTGAGCGCCATTCTCGTACTGGTAGTGCTGGAGACCCTGGTGGCTCCCATGGAGCGAACTGACATCAGATTTAGCCGAGAGCTGACCATGAGTAGACACCAGCCTCTGCCTCATAATGCTTTTGGAGATCACTGGATACTCTTTGCTGCCAGAATAAGAGCAGGAGGAGGAAGCCAGTTATATAAACTTTGAATGGTAGTCAACGTCACTCTGGTTCTACTAGAGCAGTGGCTTTCAGACTGTGTTCTATGGAACCCATGAGCAGATCACGGTAGACAAGCTCCCTTCAAAGACTGTCTGACCATTGTCTGCAATTACCGTACCTGTCTTCTGCAACTGGAAGCTACACACAAAATGTGTTAGGTATGTTATAGGAGGGTACTCTCACCATTCACAGAGGCCAGTGACGGGTGATCTAGGACAAGCACCAGAATTCTCTGCAGAAAAGATTCCCATATTAGTCAAAAATTTGAAAGCCACCACACAAAAATCTCGAGCTAGAAGATCTAGCTCTTCCAGTGCGGTCTGAAACAAGGTGACCTTCAGCAATATGTTGTTGAAGGCTTTCACGACCGGAGTACGGCCACACATCCCGAAAAATCTACAGCAACTAATCATCTTCAGCAACTTCATCCTTTCTGGTTATCTGTTTCCCCATTTATTGATAGATCATTTCCTCCAAGAGCACATGGATATTTGTTCAAACAGCAAAGCATTTGCCATTAGTGAAGACCAAGGGTAGCCACTGCTGGCACAGGACTCTTTGGGAACTAATATATTGAGATCTAAACAAATCATCAGTTTCTTTGATGGATCAGATGGCTGCTGGATAAGTTCCTAGTGCACACAAAGAGCTGCCCTTGAGTTCCTCTGATTTCATGGTAGGAGAACCCATTTCATGGGGATCTAACTATCTGAAAAGTTGCCTCATCCTCTGCTGTTAACAGTTGCTGAGTTGGTGGTCAAAGTTTGATATCTTTACATATCAAGTCCACCAGTGGGTTTGATTCAATTGACTTTGTCCTTCATTGAGCTACTGGACAAGACTGAACATTGGCATGGTTGTTCATAGCAGAGATAAGACTGATCTTATTTGCTGATATGAAGTCCACCAGTGGGTTTGATTCAGTTGACTTTGTCCTTCATTGAGCTGCTGGACAAGACTGAGCATTGGCATGGTTGTTTATAGCAGAGATAAGACTGATCTTATTTGCTTCCACTGCCAGAAGCTTAGCATTCTGTCCCTTTTGTTCTATTTGTGGGACAGCTGGATAAGAAGAAAATCAATAATTATCCCCAGTGTATAAAAGAAAATAAACCTGCTAGCTATTGCTCAAGAAGGGTGCAAACTATTTAAAAATCTTAACAGTACTAGGAAATAGGAAACCTTTTACATTAGCATACTGTAATGTTTTCCCCTGACCTAGATGGTCCAGGTTAGCCCCAATCTCTTCAGATCTCATAAGCTAATAACATTCAGCCCTGGTTAGTAATTGGATGGGAGACCACCAAGGAAGTCCAGGGTTGCTACGCAAAGGCAAGCAATGGCAACCCACCTCTGTTCAACTTTTGACTTGAAAACCCCATGAAAGGTTGCCATAAGTCAGTTTTGACTTGATGGCACATTCCACCACCAGTGTTTTGCCATGAGCAATTACAAACACATTTCTTTAAATAATCAGCTTTGTCCTAGTGGTGCTGGAACTGTAATGATGTTTTGTAATTACTGTAAAGGAGCAAGAAAAGTAATGATTGCTCCATTCTGGGCTGCTGTACCAGGTTGATCAGCACACAAAGATCTAGTTACCTTTTCTCTTACTGGGGAAAATGTATAAATTAGTGAAAGAGTGGCTAGTTTTTTTAATATAGCCATTGAGATTAGGGATGGGCACGAATTGGCTCTCAAATTAAAGTTCATGATGTATTTTGGGTGGTTCGTGAAGTGAAGTTTGAGGCAGGTCAACTGTCTTGAACTTTCCACAAACTTTTCAGCTGTTTGTGGCGGTTTGTGAACAGATTCATTTCCATACAGACTGTCTCAGCTCAATCTAAATGTCTACCAAACTTCAAAGCAACAGGGGGGCAAAACTTGGAGGGCATGTAGAGAAGCATCTGGGAGAGGCCCCCTATGACTTTGATGTTTCTAGCTTGCACAGGATCCATTCTATACACTCCTGAACCTCCTGAACCTGTGCCTGTCAAAATGAGCTGTCATTTCCCCAGAAAGCACTTTCCTGGGGGAACCTTCTTTGGGAACCCATAACTTGGACCACATAAATCCGACCCTCATCAAACATGGAGAGCACGTAGAGGACAGTTAGCCATGGATCCTCTGTGAGTTTGGTGTCTCTAGCATGCTGGGGGAAAGTATTCTACTGGGTCAAAAACCTCACAAACTGAGCCACATTTTCCTGGTTTGTGCCCATCCCTAATTGAGACTATATCTTGGAATGTGAAGGAATCTTGTTAACCAAACATGTTCGTATAATTATATTTTTGTTTTAATGACTGAATGACTGAAAGAGCTAATAATAAAGTTAATAAAGAGAGAGTGTAATTGACGCTAAAACAGGCACAGAGCAGCCAAGTATGATGCCTCTATTGTACGACTGTACCATTTCAGACTGCAGGTGGGCATAACATGTTTGAATGTTCCCCTACATAGAGAACTAGCATGTCCTAGAGAAGACTCCAATCTAGCGTTTCCTCTGGCATGCTAATTTTGTACGTTAAGGAGGGGGACGTTCAGATATTTGATGCCATATCTGCATCTATCATTGGGGACATCTTCTTTGTTCCAGTTTATTCCCTTCTGCCTGCGGGACTGTGGTTCAGCTACATTTTGCTGGATGAGGCCCCCTGTGGGCAGTGACTTCCCAATCTGGAACAAAAGATGTACTCATACTGCACGGCAGACGTGACAGCATCACACGTGTTAAAAAACAAAATGAACAACTCAGCAGCGGGAAAATGGCATCCACAAAAAGGCTTCAGACAAGATGCTTGGAAGTTTCCCTTATTCCAGCCAATTGTTAACAGCAGCTCATTCATTCTCCCCACCTTTGCAACCTGGCCACCCGCAGGTCGCTGTCGTCGCTTCCCCGGAAGCCCTTGGCAAATGGGTTGTTTTCTATCTTCAGCTGGGTAATCTTTGGAAAGAAGGGAAGAAACCAGGTCAGTCTTACATTTGAAAGAAAAAGCATGTCTGCACTGCAGACTTAAACTGGTTTAGCAGTTCTGTGAGGGATTTCCAACAGAAAACTGTCAGGTCATACTTCTATTTATGATTTATGTTGTGTTTAATTCCTTTGTACCCTGCCTTTCTCCCCAGTGGGGCTTACATCATTCGCCTCTCCTCCCTTTCATCCTCACAATAACCCTGCAAGGTAGGTTAGGCTGAGAGTACATGACTGGCCCAAAGTCACCAAGCGAGCTTCCATGGCACAAGTGTGGATTCGAGTCTTCTTGGAGTCAGGGGACTTCCATAGAAGTCTTGAGATGCCTGAAGTAGCACCCAGGTAACAAGGAACATGTGGAGTGTTCCCAGGGGTCAAATGCCCTCTGGCACCATCCTCCACCCCTGGATGTTCTGATGCGCTGGCTTGTAGCTGCCTCTCCTCTGGGGGGTGTGAAGGCGAGCACCCTTCTCCAAGCTGACGATAAGGATGGAGAAGGGCAGTTTCCATCCTCTTTTGAGCACATACTCTGTCGGCTTGAATCCCTCTTCCAGGGGAGTTCCTTTGCGACCCCTTCTTCAAAGAAATACAATAGGGTAATCCTCATCTCTACACTTTGACAGCTTCCTCCTTCCTCTGAAGATTGTTTCAGAGGGTAGCAATGTTGGTCTGCAGTAGAAGAGCTGGATTCGAGTCCAGAAGCATCTTAGAGATCGGCAAGATTTTCAAGGTATGAGGGTTCAAGAGTCAAATCTCCCTTTGTCAGATAGAAGAAGAAGAAGAGATTGGATTTATCCCCCGCCCTTCACTACCTAAGGGAGTCTCAGAGTGGCTTACAAACTCCTTTCCCTTCCCCTCCCCACAACAGACACCCTGTGAGGAAGGTGGTGCTGAGAAAGCTCTTGACAGAAACTGCTCTTTTTCAAGGACAGCTCTTATCAGAACTACAGCTTGTCCAAGGTCATCCAGCCAGGTGCTAGTGGAGGAGTGGGGAATCAAACCCAGTTCTCCCAGATTAGAGTCTGCACACTTAACCACTACACCAAACTGGCTCTCTACTAGTAGTTTACTAGTAGTACTAGTAGTTTACACCCCTAACATCTTGTTGGTGCTACTGAACTCGAATCTAGCTCTTCTTCTTCCCCTGACATCAGAAGGAACTGGCACTACAGCTCTGGGAGTGGCCCACAAGCATTCAGTTGGCCAAAACCTCTCCTCCTAATTAGCCAAGTGAGAAGCTGCAGAAACAGTAGAGCCTGGGGGGGGGGCCCTCCTGAAGCAGAGGCAGCCTTATTTATTATTTATTTCTACCCCTTTATAGTCAACAAGAGAGTACAAAACCAACCCAAGGCAGCAAACATTAAAACATTTGAGACATTACGAAAAACATATTTTAAAAAAACCATAATATCCATATAAAACAGGACTTCAATCCCCCTTTATTCATTCACTTATTTATTTGGAAATGTATATGCTGCTTTTCCAAAGACCTGCTCAAGATGACTCCCTATGTAAAAACAAAGCAATAAAATCATAAAATGAACTGCATGAAAACAAGGCATAAAAAGAATAGAAAACAACACTTGGCAGCCCAAATGTTCTTCCCAGCCATTCACCGTCTACTGAACATTGGCTATGTAGTAAGTCATCTGCAATATTTTCCAATTTCTTCACGGTTCCAAAGAACGGTTCCAAAGAATAACAAAGAGATCTGTACCATTCTGGGCTTGAAACAACCAAACTGTTTCCTCCGAAAACCAGAAGTTCTGCATGGAAACCAAGTTGTGGCCAGGATTGGGTGGTAGAACATCTTACCCTTCATCATCAGCCACACTGAGGCCTACCTATACATCCACATTCAGCACAGCAACTCATGAGATTTTCCTGCAATAGTGACTAATTTGATGCAGTGCTCTTCCCCAGCCAGACCTTCAGAGTCCTGGAAGCTTTTGTGCCACATCTCTACAGTGGGTGTACATTTGCCCTACCTAGAGGTCATTCTGGCGCACTGACGTCAGGTCACCATAGGATGCTTTCAAAGGACTGGATTCCCTCAAGCCTTTGAGGTGGCAGTCAGCCACAGTCACCAGTGGTGTGTGGCAGGAGGAATTTGGCCTTCCTACTGGCAAATCTCTTTCTTCCCTCCTTCCCTCACTCTCAATATGCTGGGAAGACACTCTTCTTTCTCCATGTAATATCCCTTATATTTGTTCTTCTGCCATCTTCCCTTGCACTAAATAGTTCGCCGCCACTAGATGGCCCAGGCTAGCCTGATCTTGTCAGGTCTCAAAAGCTAAGCAGGGTCGGCCCTGATTAGTCCTTGGATGGGAGACCACCAAGGATGTCCAGGGTTGCTATGCAGAGGCAGGCCAGGGCAAACCACCTCCAAACGTCTCTTGCCTTGAAAATCCTGCGGGCTTGCTCTAAGTTGGCTGTGACTTAACGGCCCTTTCCACCACCAGAGTTCCTTCGGGAGAGTCTAGACAAAGACCTGGGCCTCAACACACTGGACTCGGTAGTCCCTTAAAAGAGAAAGGGGCTCAACCACTGTTACAAAGAGAGAGCTCTTATCAAACTGACAGGACGGATCTCCTACTTGGAAGACAATAAAGTCCTGAGGGTACTTATGATGCAACAGTTTGAACTAATTGGTTCCGTTCCTCTGAAGGAACTTTATTCTTCATTCTGCACTCCTTGTTGCTGTGAGTTGGGTAATGCTGCTTCCTGACCCAGGGGAGCCCTTCTGCCCACAAACAGCAGCATTCCCCACAAGGGTAAGGTGGTTCTGTGACCAGATCCCTCCTGTGTGCTCAGAAGAGGCAGGAATTGGCATTCCTTTCTGGCCAGCCCACGTCCATGCGCACAGGAGAAGGACGCCCGAGGCTTGAAGTTTGTATCTCGCAGTGCAGACATGCTCTCAGGCTCGGCAGTGGACTTCTCCTAGGGTTGCCAGCTCTGGGTTGGGACATTCCTTGAGATTTGGAAGTGCAGCCTGGGGATGGTGGAGTTTGGGGAGGGGAGGGACCTCAGCACAGAGTCTGCCCTCCAAAGCAGCCATTTTCTCCAGGGGAACTGAGCTGTGTTTTCTGGAGATCAGCTTTAATCCTGGGAGCTCTCCAGACCTGGGGGTTGGCAACCCTAGCTTCTCATCATAGGGCAGTCGGTCTGTCATTTTCAGCCAGATCTCTTAAGTCAAAACAACCTCCCAGCCTATTCTGGCTTGGTCTCCATGTGCCCCTGTGTCTTACAAGGCGCACCTTCTCTTGAAGCTCCCAGCACTTCCGTTTAGGGAAGCCCAAAGCCTCTGAAGGTCTTTGGTAAGAAGGTGCCGGTAGCGGAAGTGTGAACTGTGGCCTCAAGACCATCAGCAGGCACATAAAATACAGGGATCCATCTGCCAAAGCCAAGGCAGCTGCTGGGAGACAGGTTCTGCTGAGAACAGTGTCTGATGAGAACCAGCGTGGGGCAGAGGTTAGAGGGTCAGGCTAGGATGTGGGAGACCCGGGTTCAAAGCCCCGCTCTGCCAGGGAAGCTTGCTGAACGCGCTCTCGGCCTAACCTACCTCACAGGGTTGTTGTGAGGAGAATGAGGTAGGCCACTTTGTGTCCCCATTGGGGAGAAAGTGGGGTATGAATGAAGTCCAGAAATACTGTGAAAGGCAATACATAGGAATGGGTCGCATGGTGACATACCACGCCCGGGCGTCCGAGGAATCGAAGAAGGACCTCCTGCCACTTCCTGAGAAAGGTTCCCCTTGCTGCACACAGCTCATAGTTGCTGCTCAGTACGAGCTTTAAGGGCTGCCTCAACATGGGTACTGACTTCCTCCACACTGGAGGAAGGCTACTGAACCCTTCCCGGGCCATACCCCCCCCTTCTCCTGGCTGAGGCTTACCACGGGCAGGAGAAAGGGGGATCCAAACTGACCAGTTCGGGCATTTTTGGCTCAGTTTGGGGCTCGGTTCGGGACTGCCCCGAACCAGAATTTTTCGATTCGTGCCCATCCCTATATGTCACTACATTCGTCTGATATCTACTTATTTACCTAATTTATCCACAGCCTTTATCCCTTGGGGAGACTCAGTGTTGCTCACAATGTTCTCCCCATCTCCATTTTATCCTCACAACAACCCTGTGAGGTAGGTTAGGCTGAGAGTGTCTGACTGGCCTCAGGTCACCCAGCAAGGTTTCATGGCAAAGCAGGAATTCAAACCTGGGTTCTCTCCAATCCTATTCCGACACCTGAACCCCTAAACCAAGCTTGCTGTTCTACTGTGTTTTTTTTTTAAAGCTACACCACTTTGGTGTCAGGGTTAATAGTGGCAGACTCTAATCTGGAGTACCGGGTTTGATCCCCCACTCCCCCACATGCAGCCTGGCTCAGTCACAGTTCTCTCAGAGCTGTTCTCTCAAGGGCCGTTCTCTCAGGGAGAGGAAGGGACAGGGCCATAGCCAGTGGTGGGGCTTTAGGGGTGGAGCCCCACCATGACTGGGTCAAAGGCACCGTAGCAGGAGGAGCACCACTGCATGCCACCGCCACCACCTGCCGTGCCACTGCCATCTCCCCCACCTGGGCGCTGGTGTCCAGGAGCCAGGCGGCACAAAGGAGAAGCCCGGCCCCAGACTCTCCTCATGCCGTGCTCCCCTGGCGCAGCAGCAGACGGCCAGGCCTGCTCCCCTCTGCCTCCACCCTGGGTCTGTCTGCACACCCCACCTGGGGCTCACCTTCCCATGGCGCCCGGCCTCTCCCCTCAGGGCCAGAGCCCTTGGAGGCTGCCCTGTGAGGTGCCCAGGCACACCCTCCATCCCCAGATTTGCTCCTCATTGCAGGCAGTATCCGCAGGTGGAAGGTGAGGGCGAGTATGGCAGTATCAGTATTCAGTTTATTCGGTATATCACCAGCCCAATTACAAACAATACAAAAGGGTACCAATAATATATATAAAATATTTAAATATAAAACTGTGTTTGAT